AATTGCTGTATGTTGAAACAGCGGTTAAGTCTTGAATCTTGAATTTCAAAAGGTCATATAAATCACACTCACAATCAGAACATATTATTCCACCTACCACTGGTGGCAGCTCAGCGTGCAGATAGTTTTGCTTTTATTTGCAGATTCTTTTAAATATGTGCTGTTGAGGTTTCCACTCAAATATAGCAGAGGAACCTTGTTGTCTCTGGGCTCACTGCACCCACTGTCTGCAATGTGTACCTAAGTGTGTGTGAATGCGTGCATGTGTGTCCATATATTAGTTTTCCATTCTCTCCCTGCAGAGATAACATTGTGCAATGTAGCAGGCAGGCAATAAAGTTGAACCAGGGGCAAGACAGCAATCAAACTGTGCTCCTATCTCACTGCTGATGCTGTGGTTGTATGAACCAGCATTAGAGGCCATGCTGAGAGAGCTTTACAGTCTGATACTCCAGTCACTCACTGCCAGGCATTAGTAATGCACTGTAGAGAGCTTTTTGTCCGACCACAGATACACAAAACAACTTAAAAATTTTTCTTTTCATTTTAGCCTTTATATAAACATAATCATATAAAGTTCCCCTGCCAATAAATTTGCAGGTGGGCAGCAGTGTTTTGGAGAGAAATAGTGTTGGTGTGAAAATATTTCAGATGAAATTTAAAAACAAAACAAAACAGATTTTTCACAGTTTCAGATGTGTTCCTGCCCTGGAAACAATCAGCAACAAACACATATTCAGAAAAATATTAAATAAAGACATGTTTAGTGACTTACAGTAGAGACTAATTTGGTGAAATTCTCACAAATAATAGATGATAAAACTACATGAATAATTCATTCATTCATTCATTTCCATAACCACTTATCCTGAATTACATGAAAGATGTTGGTTAATAAATGCAAAGCACATGTGCATTCATAAACTTCCACCCTATAAGCCACTAAATCATAAGCCTAGCACGTCAACTTTAACAATCCAACCACACATGCAATGTGAATGTTTAACAAAATATCTTTTTTGCCAAACAGCAAAGGAGTAATTATTAATCTAAGGTGTTTCAAAGCACACTTAATGTATTATTTATTCAGTCACTGTGTCTGTTCATGTGCCAGCCGAAATGTTGTTGTAGTAATGTAAAAAGCGCCAACAGATGGCAGGAGCTACATTTGAAGTACCGTATGTAAACATAAAACTCACTGGTTTCTCCACAACAAGTTCCTACAAATGTTTCACAATAAAAGCCTATTTAGAAGATGGAGGGATTCTCTCAGCTGAGGTTATAAGAGGCTTTTAATTTGAAACAAGTTCAGGAAGTGTTGAGTTTGAAATGATGGCGCGATGTATTAACTTTATGAAGGCAATGGGAGCGGATATAAAGTAAAAATATAAAAACACAGAGGGATGAATAAATAATATATAATGTAGTCTGTTTCAAATGAAGCTGGGAGCCTCTGCAGTTTTGGTGAGTAAAAGCCCTGCCACTATTTTTTAATTTTCTTGCTTTAAGTCATCTGGTGATTTTTTTTTTTTTTTTAATACAAGCCCTATATTCTACTGTAGCCTTTAAAATGTATGTTTTTTTTTACCAAATTGTGTGGCTTCACTTTAACCTGTGTCTTGATCTGTGTCAACACTGGATAATAATAATAAAAAAAGTTTTATGGCATTCATTTTATTATTACATATTTAGCAGCAGATACCTAAGGCTCAGGGATCGGAATCGATATCAGGAAGGAAAAAGTGGTATTGGTACATCTCTAATAATAGGTCCCCTTTATAATGAAAAACAAAAAACCTGTCCCTGTCACTAGGTAGCAGATATGTGTTCTTGATAAGGAAGACATAGATGAAGAGAACTGTATGTTATTGTCAAGATTATGTCCAGAGATCACGAAAATTTGAAAGAAAAGGAAAAAAAATTCATTTATAGTGATGCATCTAACCCAAGTGAGCATTCATCTAGTGTTGTAAATTTTAATCTCCATATTTGTTTGAATGTATACTATTTACAATCACATAGAAGGACACATTTTAACAGCAGGCCAGCTGTGCACCGAGTAGCAGACTCTCTCAGTTATGCCTTTAATTAGCATTTAAGTTAATCAGTGCTTGAAGTGGGGAAAAAAGTGCCAGTACTTTTCTTATTCACATGTTGGCATGTGTATGGGAGGGCTGTTTTAATGCGCACTACAGTTGTAACGTCAGCTCATTTGACCACTGAGATGTGAGTGATAGCTGGCTTGACCACAGTTATTTTTAGAACATGCTCTGTGAGTGACTCATTGGTTCCTTGTGGGTGACCAGGTGCTCATGGACACCATGTTGACCACCTCTGGCCCAGAGAATGAGATATGGAAAGGGCAGAAAAGTGTACCGGCAGCATGTGAAAGTCACTGTGCACTAGAGAGTAAAATGCAAAAGTGCTAGTACTGCATACCGGTGAGTACCAGTCCACTTCAAGCACTGGAGTTAATTAACTGGAAGTGTACCAATTGAAAACTGTCTCAATTTTCTTTATAATTAGTACCAAATAACAAAGTGTATTCCAGGACCCTTCCTAAGAAGTTACGGCTGCTTTACAGGTCCTATCTAGGAAATGATTATTATTAAACAATGTTACCCAAGGCAAAACTGTAAGTTTCTATTTTTCAGAGATTTCACAAAGAGACTGGACAAAAGATCCTTATAGGCTTGCAACACCTATGACTGCATATAGCAATTTGCTTCTCATTTGTTTGCAAATTAACATTGTCGCAATGACAACTCATTATTTGAAGAGAAAATTCTGTGTACTTCAATCATATCAAGAACTAAATTGGAAGCTGAATTAAATAAAAAAGAAATTATTTTAAAAAATCTAACATAAATACATGAATCAAATTTGCAAGTATGCATTAAGAATCTCAAAGTAACATTAATATAAAAACACTGTTAATCCTGAGTCCATTGTTTTGGTCTTTTTATTGATGCATTAAAATTTTTATGTTATTAAATGAAATTATCAAATGAAATCATAAAGTCAACTTGAAAACGGCTTTTAAAATTCCCCTCATATTATAGTTAATCTCTGTGAAAGTCTTCAATTGATCTGTTCTCACACCTCAGGCATCATAACATAATCATGTTTTGTTATTTGGACATGAAATGATTAAATTTGGACAAAAATCAGCATCAAATCTCATCTTTCAGCAGCTTCACTGCAGGAATATCAGTATCAGTTGCGGCCTTAAAGGACAGATCAGCTGAGCCATACTGCCAATATTGAATCTGGCACAAGGCACAGGTGGGAATGTATGTGTGTGAATGTGGGTGTATGTGTGTGGAAATAGTATAGTTGACTGAGAGGCTCAGTCAATATGTGAAAACAGGCTTGAATTTCAGTGGAACTTCATAAAAGTGCTACATGGAAACTTTTCTTCGCTGATGTCTCACTGCTAAATCAATTGTGATGGCATATTATAAATCTAGCAATTTAAAAACAGCAGTCTCAGAAAACTTCATGCATTCATATAGGAGGTTTTGTGTTTTCAGCAGAATCTTTGACTTCTTCTGCAGCAGACAGGTAAGCAATATTTCTGAACTAAGTAGTGAGGACGGACAAATGCATCATTTCCATATGGGGCTATCTCACCAACCACTAACACAAAGGCACCTTTATGCAACTTTGTGGAAAGGTTTGGGGGGGAAAATACTTTCGAGTGGAAGGAGAAGATTACAATATCAAGCTGAACTGTCAGCACGCTGATCTACCAAATGTCAAACAATACATATTCATCTGTTTGGCCAGCCACAGCAAAGAGGCAGTGCTCTAGGAGAAGTCCAAACAGAGATGGCTGACATTTCAGCATTCAAGAGTGACAGCTGCACATAAACAACTTGCAAATACACACACACACACACACACACACACACACTCATATTTACTGTACACATACAGATGCATTGAGTTTAGTTGGTTGACGTTGAAGGATGATCCTAAAGGAGTCTCTTAATGCCAAACGGGCAGTTTGAGAAATGAGGTCTGGTCTTCACAGCCAAGATTCACTTGCTTTTGAGTAAAACCACCTGTATAATCTTTTTCTTGAATCTGTCTCCAGAACATTAATATCGAAAGTATTTTTAGAGTGTTGTCTACCAACATAATTACATAGTTGTTTGCCCATTTCACGGACGTGAAATCACAGTGACTCTGACTTTTAAATACTAAAATCTAAACAGTTCTCCATTGAGTCCAAGTTGATGTTTGTACTGAATTTGAAGAAATTCCCTCAAGAAGTGAGATACTGTGTTCACAAGAATGAGATTGAAAAGGTCATAGTGACCTTGACCTTTGACCACCAAACTCTAATCAGGTCATCCTTGACTGTAAGTGGATGTCTGTGTCAAATCTGAAGAATTTCTCTCAAGGTCTTCTTGAGATATCACATTCATGAGAAGGAGATGGACGTCAGGTCACAGAAACCTTGACCTGTGACCACCAAAACTAATCAGTTCATCATTGAGCCCAAGTAGACATTTATACCAAATTTTAAGAAATTTCCTCAATGTGTTCTTGAGATATTGTGTTCACAAGGATGGGAAGTACGGACCTACGTATGGTCATACACATGTGCGGATGGACAATCAAAAAACAGCCTGCCTGCTGGTTGTCATTATTTGGTAAATGCCCTCTTGGCACGTTTGAAGTACAGTTTTCCAGTGAAAGGTTCTTGAGCTCCAAAATTGGGCATATTTGTGGGGCTGTTTGCCTTGATAGACAGGTCTCTCGGCCTTTTACACTTAGCTTTGGCTGCTCATCCTGCAGCAGCTCTTATTTTCTGGCTCCAGTAACTGGCAAGGGCTATCCAAACTCCAGACTAACAGAGCTTTCCTCAGAGGCTTATTGATTGGGTCTCAAAATCTACACCCTTATCTTTACTCATGTCAAAGAAATGTATATACTCGCTCTCAGATATGGTTCATTCTTTGGTATGTCAAGGCTTGGTATTTTGTGCTTACCTCCACAGGGTAGCGGCGGCCATTAATGCTGTGTTCAGAGCCTTCAGATCCGTTGTTTGGACCCCAATGGAACTCCACTTTTTCGGCCTTAAACCTCCCTGGTAGACCTGCTCCCCGAACAAAGTAATCATCCTTCAACATAATGGCCACTGGAAGAAAGACAGAAGGCAAGAGAAAAAAGAAAAAGAGCAAGAAAGTCATTCATCACCAAACATTGTTTTCAACATACATTGAGTACAAATGTTATCATTCCTCTAAAATAGACAGAAGGCAGAAAATTGGTGTCTGTTGTTGATGTGATGGCAAACTTCAAAGATGGCACAAAAACCTAATCAAAGGGGTGTGAGGTTTCACATACACAGTGTGAAACCTCTTTAAGGTCTTAAGAGCCACAGACAGAAGAATGCATTCTGAGGACATGCTAAAGTTAGATAAGTGTTTATCTTTTAAATTTGCTCTGAGGAAGACGTGCCCACACAAGACCATTTCTGTCATTTTCCATCAGCCCCTAACGCAAGTTCTCAAATGAGGGGCTAATTTGCCAAGAAAAATCATTCTCTTCATCCACTGCAAACTGCCCTTACCAGGTCCTTTGTTATTATTCCATCAAACCTTTCTGAAATATATCAAGAATTAAGAGGGGGCCTTATTTTCACATCCACAAATGGCTTTGGAAGGATTCCTGTGTTCCATTAACCAGTGCAGCCAGACTTCATCACACAGTTCTGTCTCATTTATAGAGGAAGCACTTGAGTAAAGAGAGTGACCTGGTTCATCATTTTATCGACGCTGGCCACAACTCTGAGTCATCAAGTATCACATACACCTGATAAGACATTAACAGACCCAATTTACATACTCTACGTTTATGAAATGTTGCTATCAAATAACATGAAATGGCACAGGTAAAATAGTGATCTGAGGTTGCCATATCTCCTTGAATTCTTCAAAGAATACTTTACTAAAGCTTGAGTCTAATTTGTAAATTGTAGCTTTGTTTATCATTTTTAACAATTATGATAACACTGTGATCAGCAAAGTGGTTGTTGAAATCTTGGGAAAGAGGGACACAGCTAGAATTAACTTTATTTAGAGCAAGAAACACAAGCAGTCACATGATCAGGAAGGTTTTAAACACAGCAACAGTTTATCCAGATCACTTCATTTGGAGGCAAAACTGGAAGTGAGCACACCTGAAATTTGACTTCTCAGACATTGAAGACCTCCTATCTTATCTTACCTAAAGAAATCCTCACTATAATTGGATATCTGATTCTTCATGTGGCACTCATCCATTCATGCCTGTATCTTTGTTTAGAATCTACCCGTAAACTACTTGAGATGGACATGCCATAATATCGACTCTCAATTGTCACTGGCTAGTTAGCTCACAATCCGGGTCCAATTCGGGTGTTCAATTTCAGCAACAGTGAGTAAGAGGCACTCATCGTGTCTGTGGAAGATGTCAATCAAATTCAGAATTAATTATAAATTACTTTGATTATTAATCATGATCAACTAAATCATGTTGTCAGTCAATATGCAGTGGCATGCAAAAGTTTGGGCACCCAAGGTCACCCCCCTTGGCAAGTATTACAGCTTCTAAACACTTTTTGTAGCCAGGTAAGGGTCTTTCAGTTCTTGTTTGGGGGATTTTCCATCATTCTTCCTGCAAAAGGCTTCTAGTTCTGTGAGATTCTTGGGCCATCTTGCATGCACTGCTCTTTTGAGGTCTATCCACAGATTTTTAGTGATGTTTACGTCAGGGGACTGTGAGGGCCATGGCAAAACCTTCAGCTTGCTCCTCTTGAGGTAGTCCATTGTGGATTTTGAGGTGTGTTTAGGTCCATTGTCCTGTTGTAGAAGCCTTTCTCTCCTCATCTGTGGCTTTTTATGGATGGTTTGATGTTTGCTTCCAGAATTTGTTGGAATTTCACTGAATCCATTCTTCCCTCGATCTGTGAAATGTTCCACATACATACCACTGGCTGCAACACAAGCCCAAAGCATGATCGATCCACCTCCATGATTAACAGTTGGACAGGTGTTCTTTTCATGAAATTCTGCATCCTTTTTTCTCCAAACATACTTTTGCTCTTTGCATCCAGAAAGTTCTATTTTAACTTCATCAGTTCACAGGAATTGTTTCCAAAAAGCATCACGCTATTTTTGATGTTTGGTTTTTCTTCTGATGACTCTTCCATGAAGGTCATAGTTGTACAGGTGTCACTGCACAGTAGAACAGTGCACCACCACTCCAGAGTCTGATAAATCTTTCTGCAGGTCTTTCGCAGTCAAACAGGGGTTTTGATTTGCCTTTTTAACAATCCTACGAGCAGCTCTTTGGGAAAGTTTTCTTGGTCTTCCAGACCTCAACTTGACCTCCGCAGTTTTTGTTAACTACAATATCTTAATGGCATTACGAACTGAAGAAACAATACCTGAAAAAAACCCTTTAATATCCCTTTATAGCCTTCTCCTGCTTTGTGGGCGTCAGTCATTTTAGTTTTAAGAGTGCCAGGCAGCTGTTTAGAAGAGCCCATGGCTGCTGATTGTTGGGACAATATTTCAGGGGTCAGAATATTTTTAAAGCTTTGAAATTTGCATTTTCCCTAATGATGACTGTGAACAAGCCAGAGTTCAAACAAGATAATTATGGCCTGAGACCCTGGTAGAAGTTGTCAGAGAGCTCAAATGTCTTGGGGTGCCCAAACTTTACTTATTTAACTCTTCACAGTACATACAGTTTTGACCAGGGGGGCCCCCTGGTCCCCCTGTTGCATACCACCATATACATATTAATTTATTCAGGAAAATAAAATCATCATCATACAGTTTAGGAAGCATTTCATTATATATTAGTGTTCATGTTGTTCCCAATATTCATTGTCATAGTCATTCAGACCTAACAACAGTGCTGTTGCCATTTTTAGCAGTTCCTTTGAATTTAGGACAGGATCTATGCCACCCTAACCTAGGATTCCTAACTTGGAAATCTCTAAATTAGTTTGAATCTGTAATAGCTAAATTCCCATCCTAAGTTAAGAGTTTCTTCCTAAATGCAGTTAGAAAACATGTTTATGTAAAACCCAAAATCTTAAATGTCATTCTGAACTGAGATAAGGTAGGATTTCAGACTTTTTCTATAATGAGGCCCCTGGACTGTTCAAAACATTGCCATGGGCAACCACAATCTCAATTTTTATCAGCAATTGAAGTCCATTACAAATCAACAGCACACAAACATTAGCTGTCTGGTGGCCTGAGCTTACTTCCTATCTAAACATAACAAGTTAGTGTGGAGGAGCTGAGGGAGCAGAACTCTGCTCGATAAGAGTAAAATAATTAAATGAGATCAATCTTAGCAACTTTGGATGTCAGTAAGGGATCACATTTTGCCCCAGTACACTGTCTAAAGTAACAGTATGCTTATTTTAGATATTATGTTCTATTATTGAAGAAGCCCAGGCCGGCACAGTAGTACAGTGGTTTATACTAGTGTCTCACAGCCGGAGGGTTCCAGGTTAGATCAGGTTTGTCAGTGTGGGTTTTCTCTGGGTTCCCCAGCTTCCTCTTACAGTCCAAAGGTAGGTTAAATGGTCACCTTAAATTACCCACATGTTTGAATGTGAGCATGAATGGTTGGTTGTGATAGTCTGCCAACCTGTCCAGGATGTACCCAGCCTCTCACCCAATGTCAGCTGGGATAGACTCTAGCCCCGAATACCTGAATCAACCCTGAATAGAACAAGTGGTTATGTATAATGACCCAAAGAAGCTCAGCTTGGTGCAAACATCACTCATCTTTTCCTCCTACACCCTTACGTCATACCTTTTGCTGCTGCCTGTTAAAGCTATAACATATTTTCAGGATTGATACACTGAAGGTGGTGCATTCTGTAGATCTGCTGATTTGGCTTCTGATCATGAACTGCAAAACTCTGACTTATTTCTGTAGTTGCAAGTTGTTATTTAGCATCTTCCCATGTTCCTTGTTTTTCTCCCTTTGCCCATCAGGCCAAATCGCTCTCTAAGCTCTATAACCAAATTATGTTTGGATAAATTACTTTGTAAATTGATGGAACTGCAGATATTCTTCTTTACAGGCTGGTTGATACAGACATGTGAGTATTGTAGGTGCTTTAGTTGATCTAAGGTATGTACAGTTTGGATCACATGGTCTATGTAAATTAACCAACAATTAATAAGAAACTATTTTGAAAATGGTGTGAACTTTTTTATTTCCATCCTATCCATAACATTTTGTTGACTCTATATTCAAGGTCAAGAAGTTAAAGTTGAGCTGTGAAGAATTATCTCTCTGATTTAAGTTTGTTCTGCAGGAGGCAGGGGGTTATCCACCCCCTCCCTGCCTACCTCCATAGCTCCTTCACAGCATTCAGCAGCGTCTCCACCAGGTGATCCCTCCACAGATAAAACGCTCATCTGTCATTTAGAAACAGTGCAGAATCCATGCATAATTTGTGCCGCAAATGCAGGGACATTTGTCTTGTTAGCCATGCATTATGTAGCGGGGGGAGAGCAGAAGCTGCGCGCCATTTTGTTTCGCAGCTGTTGTTTGTGTTAGCATTTTTACATGGCTCTCTACATGCTGCGGCATCCCAAATCCATTTAGATTGTGCTCTGCTGTGTTTCTTACTTTGCAGGTGGCCATCATCACCATCTCTTTTTTTTCTCAGCGAGCAGCCTGGGTGGCCATGGGGAGATGGTTCGAGTTGCTGAAGGCCTGGGGACGCTCTGCATCAAACGTGTCAGGGAATTTTTTATCCTGACTGCGATGATGAGGTCTTCTCTTTCTCTGCCTGTGTCTCTCACTCTCATCTTTCTGTTTGCGCTAGCGGGTGTCAGCACTGGTGATCCTCTACCTGAAGGTCAGTTCGTCTGTGCTCTCCCACAGGGGATGACAACACTCAGTGTGTCCGCCTCGCCTGATTGAGCTACCAGCGCTCAGACAAACGGATGTCTCACATCTCAGCGACGTACTGCCACCCGCTCATGATGCAGTGACTGGGAGGTGGGCAGGACATTTACTCACTCTCTGTGACCTTAATCAGTCACTGAAAATTGGGAACAAAAACAGGTACAGCAACAAGCCTGCTGAGGGAATTTGCAAGCATGGAGGGATGCT